GGCAGGGGGGTTGGACTAGATGATCCCCAAGGTCCCTTCCAACCCCTACCATTCTGTGATTCTGTGATTGTTGGTAATAACTGTAGTACCTTAAGTGCCTTTTTGTTGTTGTTCACATCTGGCATGTCTCAGCAATAAAATCTTTTTCATTTTAGCAATTGCATTCCTTTCCTCTTTTCTCCTTTTTTTCCCAGGCTTCCTTTTTCTGTCCTTTTCAGTCTTGCTGTTGTGTTTATCACTTATGCCAGTTCTCATTTCTCCTGTTCCGTCGCTTTCACACTTCATGCTTTATCATAAAATAGAATCGTAGAACGGTTTGGGTTGGAAGGGACCTTTAAATGCCATCTAGTCCTACCCTCCCGCAGTGAGCAGGGACATCTTCAACCAGATCAGGTTGCTCAGATCCCCATGCAACCTGTGCCAGGGCTTCACCACCCTCACCGTAAAAAATTTCTTCCTTAAATCCAGTCTTTATTCGTTCTAGCCACTGAAGTGATCACAGTCAAATAGTTAGTACTGACTTTGGTTAAAAAGAGAAAGAATTCTTAAGCTTTTAGTGTTGCTATTTCACTGAGAGTGTTAGGGGTGAAAGTGCCAGTCTGTCAAAGAGACAGTTCCCTTTGATTAGGGGGCTTGGTCCTCATCTACACAGAGTTTTCCCAATAAATTAACTACATTAGTATATTTAACAGTTTGAGTCAAATCAGCGCAGTCCCTTATTCAAAGGCATGGTTTTCTGGGTGGTTGCAGTGTGGGTTCTCCTCAGATGTGGTACTTCAGCCAAATCACTGCTTGTGAGCTGAGTGGCTGATAAAGCCTGTCAGAGACCAGGTCTCAGGCAGGTGGCACTGCAGTGTTTCTCGCTTGCCAAAGTGATTCATCATGCACTCACAGTGACTTTAAAATCACTTTTAAAGTAGGTAGTTACTGTCCAGTGCAAATCTCCTGAAGGTGAGAGGGATAAGATCCTAGCTTTAGAAAATGTGAACTTGGAAGGTCTGCCTTTTCGTGTGAAGGTTCTGACAGGTATTTCCAATAGTCTTAGTATTTGCTCTCCATGCCTCATATCTGAGAACCAATGTTTTTTATTTAATCACTGTTGCGTAGTTTAAGGGCAAGAGTTGCATATAAATCAAAAGGAGATATACATTTATTCAGAAAGCTGTTTTCTGCCTGGCCTGTTTTCTCTACGAGAAGCTCTCTCTTCTCAGACCACTTAGACGGCTGTGGTCTGCTGAAATACTGAAGCTAAAGGTTCTCAATGGGCAGGATGTTTCTCATGTGGTACCCTGGCTTCTGTGACAGAAGCACAGGTCACTTGGCAGCCAAAGGCTGATGCGTCATCTCAGCCATTAGCTGGGGAAAGTTAATGAGGAAGAGGTTTGTTTAATTGTAGGGGTGGTGAAGTTCTTGTGTCCGTGAGAGAAGATGGGATGACATGCATTTGTACGTGTTAGACTTAATTGACTGTCGTGCATTGTGACCTTTATTGAAAGACATATTTCCACAAATCAAATAAGTCCAAAGAAAAACTATGGATTGTAATGATTAACTTGAAATACAATCTCACTCTCTTACATCAGTCTATTCCCTTTAAATAGTACACAGCCTGCTCTGGGGTGGAGCAGGAGGCTAAACTGGGCAGATGCAAGACCCATCTGCTAAATACTTTTTCCATTGAGATCACTCAGGTGCACCTTGCTCTCTAAGGACGGTTAAAAAAATCAATGCTCTTCAGCCTGCAGTACATTATGTTAGAGCTTCATGGTTCTATTTTACAGTAGCGTGTTGTTCTTACAAGCATTTTAGATGGATCCAATGCCATCTAAATTTAGATAAGTTGTGCGTATTCATAACGGGGCATAGACGTTCTGTGAACCTGCTCCTTTTATTTTTGTTTTATTTAAGCACGTTGAGTTTTTGAGGCCTACAGCTCAAGTGGTATTGAGTCCCTTCAGTCTTCAAAAATAGATCAAGCTCTTCTAGATGCAGAAGCAGCATAGCAATGCATCACACTGCTAACCCTCTACATACTGTGAAACCCTTTAGCTACTGTGAAGGTTTTATTTGTGGTTATCAAGCTGGGTCTTACTCTGTGAATGGGACTCCTACATGATCAAAGAAGGTAAGTGCATATTAGTAATCAGAGCTGCTTGGCAAATGAATCTGTTCTGATGATACTTTCAGAGTAGTAAAAAGTGGGAGTCCTCCTCCCCCGACAACAGGAATGTTCCGGTCTTCCCAATAAACAAAGCAGCCAAAACAGTGAAGACTTACGTGTTTTGGATTTGATCCTGTGAAATTTACCCTTTTGCTGCCTACTGTTGAAGCCAGACTGATTTTATTCATGCCCAGAAAAGGAACAATTCTTCAGAAAATCCCTTTAGCTTGAATAAAATATTGCAGTTTTAAGGCTTTCAGAAACAACTGATCCCTGAGAATTTGTGGGAGGAGGCCTGGGTAGAAATGCTTGGGAGACCCTTCCCCATCCAGTCTAGGCCCATACCCTGTTGTGACTTGCTGTGGGATGTGGGAGTTCAGAGCCAGATCCTGCAGAAGTCCAGCAGAAACCAGGGGTGGAGCAGGATAGGTGTGAGAGGCAGAGAGGAATTTGTCCACAGGGGTGTACGTGGTAGGGAACAGAAAGTCAGATAGGCAGTCGTGTCTCTCTGGAGTTCGCTTTTAGCTTTAGAGAGCTCACTAACAACCTCCAAGCTGTGGCTGGAAAAGTCTGGGCAGGGGAGGTATGAAGAAGACTTAGCAGATGTATCTGGAACCAAGTCTTAGAATCGTTGAATGCTTAGGGTTGGAAGCGAGCTGTAGAGGCCATCTAGCCCAACCCCTCTGCAGTGAGCAGGGACATCTTCAACTGGATCAGGTTGCTCAGAGCCCTGTCCAACCTGACATTGAATGTTTCCAGGGATGAGGCCTCTCTGGGCAACCTGTTCCAGTGTTTCACCACCCTCATTGTAAAAAATTTCTTCCTTACATTCAGTCTAAATCTGCCGTCCCTTAGTTTATAACCATTACTCCTTGTCCTTGCATCTTACCTTCAGGTACGATGAGGGCAGTAGGAGCTTTGCTTCACCCACCTTCACAAGTACTTTTTCCTCTGTGCACAAGGAACTTTGTGCTGTTGCTTTTTATCTTCTTTTTTTCCAAAAAGCTCTCACTCAGGTCCCTCGTGAAGGCTGTTACAGAAATGGAGCTGTCATGAAAAATCCCCCTATGAGGATTAATAACTAATCTAAAGTGGTTAAAAGATGTGAAATAAAAGGTGGAAAAGATGAGGCAGTTTTTCACAATGAAGGAGATAACCACTGGGGAGCTGTGCTGGCCAACATTTTCATAAGTGGTTTGGACAAGGGGTGGATAGTGAGGTGACAAAGTTTGCTGATGTTGCAAAATTGTCAGGGAGTTGGATGGCATCCTGTCCCTCAGGCGTGTCGGCCGCACCACTCAGCTTGGTGTCATCTGCAAACTTTCTGAGGGTGCACTCAATCCTGCTGTCTATGTCATTGATGAAGGTATTAAATAGTATTACTGGTCCCAGGACAGATCCCTGAGGGACACCACTTGTCACTGATCTCCATTTGGACATTGAGCTGTTGACCACTACCCTCTGGCTGCAACCTTCCAACCAATTCCTTAGCCACCGAACAGTCCACTCATCAAATCCGTATCTCCAATCTAGAGAGAACGATGTTGTGAGGGACTGTGTTGAAAGCTTTGTAGAAGTCCAGATAGATCACATCCATAGCTTTTCCCTTGTCCACTGATGCAGTCACTTCTGCTGTCCTTGCGGAGTGTTCATCTGCAGCCCCCAGGCTATCATCTGAATACCTGTGCCTGCGTGTTGCCCAGGGCTCCGTTGTATGGCTGGGCTGCTTGGTGCTATT